GCGAGGGGGCAGGGGCTCTGGCAAGGTCGAGGTGGAGGAGGAGGAGGCATAGGCGCGCGACGACGTCGAGGGGCAGACTCCGGTGGAGAGCGAGGGCAGGGCCTCCGGCGAGGGAGAAGGGAGGGGCTCCGACAGAGGCGACGAGGGGGAGAAGAGAGAGTGGGGAATTGGGGGAGGAAGAAGAGGAGAGGGAATCAGGCCGTGCGGGGGGTTATGTGAAAATAGTTTTAACAGTAGCGTGGGGAGAGAAAACGCGCCACTGCTAAAATCCGTAGTAGTAGCGTTGTTTCTAGAAGGGTGCTACTACTATACCTAGCACGTCGGGAATGGTGTGGCAATTATACTAGTAGCGCGTTATTTTCCTGCCGCGCTACTGCTAAGTGGGTAACAGTAGTGTCGTTTTAGCCGACGCGCTACTGCTAAGTAGCAGTAGCGCCTCATTTTAACACGCGCTACTGGTAAAATTATGTGTATAAGGTTTTCCCTAGTAGTGTTCCCTACTTCCACGCCACCGGCGGCGGCTGCGATTTCAGATCTGCGCTAGAGGCGGTGACGGAAGAGGCGGCAGCGTTTGTGGCGGATCTGGTGCTCCCCTTGTTGTTGGCCACCGTCTGTTCGACCTTGTCTGTGCCATGGCTACCCCTACGTCATTCTCATCTCTGATGTCGGTAAGCAGCACCCCCTTCCCCCTTTGTTAGGTCGGTGGTTAGGCCGTTAGGCAAGGTGTAGGGTCGATTTCCCACTGAACGAACCGTCGAAGTCGACTAGGTTATGGACGCACGGATGAGGCTGATAATTCAGGCAACAATACTAATAAGTGTGATTCAGGCATGGGTCATGTTCATGCACCAGAGAGCTGTTTGTCGTGCTGGGAGACCTTTGATCCGCTATGGTCCAATATTTATCTGGGAACAGGAGAGGACCCAAAATCTAAACTACATCTACAACTGCAATGACGTCGAGGCTCTGTGGATGCTTCGAATCAAAAGAACACCATTTGCCAGGCTTGTCGAGACGTTCAGAAGCAGGGGGCTACTACAGAATACCATCAACACCAGTGTGGATGAGCAAGTGGCCATGTTCCTCCATGTTGTTAGCCATAACCAGAGGTTCAGGGTCATTCACAACATGTTCAGGAGATCAATGGAGACCATCTCTAGGTACTTCAAGCAGGTGCTTTTTGCTCTTGGGGAGCTTAGAGGAGAGATGATTAAGAGACCATCTGGCCAGACTCCACCCAAGATTCGCGAAAGCCCAAGATGGTATCCATACTTCAAGGTGAGCATTGACAATATACACTTTTCATGGCTTGATATGCTTGTATTGTTCAAGATGAGCACTAACATTGGCTTGTGTTGCTATTTTCAGGATTGCATCAGGGCAATAGATGGTACTCATGTCACTGCCAGAGTTCCTAGGTCATAGTTTGCAGCATACAGGGGGAGGAAGCACTACACAAGCCAGAATGTGCTTGCTGTTGTTGACTTTGATATGAAGTTCACATATGTGATGGCTGGCTGGGAGGGGTCAACGCATTATGCTAACATTCTCGGTGACAGCATGAGTCGACTTCATGGGATCAACATTCCCGACGGTAAGTTCCACCTTGGAGATGCTGGCTCTGCATGTCGGCCGGGGATTCTTCCACCCTTCAGGAAAACCAGGTACCATCTCAACGAGTTCCCTGGTAGGAACTATCCTAGGACTGCACAGGAGCTATTTAATCCCAGACACTCCAGCCTTAGAGTAACTGTTGAGAGGACATCTGGAGCTCTGAAGAATAGGTTTAAGATCCTGATCAGAAGCCATTCCACCCATACTCCACTCAGGTTAAGCTTGTTCTTGCTTGTTCCATTCTGCATAACTGGATCCTCCAGTGGGGCTTTGATGAACACGTGCCTAAGGAGGAAGAGGTCGAGCCTGGCAATGTTGTTAGCTCCGGCCATGGTGTGGAGGCATTTGACAATGACGCTTGGAAGAATAAAAGGTTGGAATGGGTAGAGGCAATGTGGCTTAACAGAGGTCAGTGCAGAATTTGAAGAAGAGGAAGAAGAAGCAGCAGCAGAAGAAGAAGAAGCAGAAGAATATGAATATGAAGAGGAAGATCTGGTAGCAGCAACACCGATGAAATATCCCCTATTTAGCCAATGACTCTTAATAACTTGTTCTGTCATTTGATAGTAGTTAGGATGAACTGTCATTGTTTAACTAGCTGGCATTACATGTTCAGATTATGTGTGGTAAGCTCACCACTAGTTAGAAGTGATGACAACACTTTATGCAAGTTGCAACCAAACACCAATGTCATATGTGCGCCTAATGCAATGCTGGCAACCAAATGCCGGGTCAAAAATGGTTGTCTCATGCAACTAAGGTAGATGTAGGCAACCAAACTATGTGCATCTGGGGTCTTTTTGCCTGCATCCCCTCAAACCGGCTCACTAGAGTCAGGCTCACCGGGCCACGCTCGATTGGCAATGTAACCAAACACGCCCCAAGTGACTTCCATATTTCCGGTCCCGCTCGTTCATCTGTCTCTTACAGCAGCATGCAAAATAAATACAACCATGTCACTTCCGCACAGCCGACGAGCCGCACACCACTGCAGACCTCGCTGCTGCCCAATCTCCTAGCAGCACCCGCTCGACACAGCCCACCCAGTCTCGCGTTAGCACGCACACTTTCCATTCCCCAATGCAGAAAGCCTCCTTGTGCACAATTGTGTGCATTGACGGCAACAGCCGGGCACGGTCGGGGTCTTTTCGCCGTTTTCGAGAGAAAAAAGGAAACACGGACACCGTGGCCAACTAATTTTACATGTAGCTAAGTTGATCTTCATGACTTATTCTTTGTATCGGTTAGAAGTGTAGGTTATTCTGCAAATCGTTTGGCATGCAGAAGAATGTAAGATATTCCATCAAGTTTTTTTCCTGGAAATTTTTTGAACGCCAACAGCAAGACGTGGTAAGCTGCAAGATGCGCCTGCGAGGCTGCGCTACAAGATGTTAATCATGACAAATAAACGCAAGGATGTTTAGTCTCAGACTCGCAAGGATAATAACTGGCCTTGCGCCGGATCTGATTGAGGGGGGAGTAGCAATCTTGCAATACGCTGATGATAAGGTGATTTGCTTTGAACATAGCAATGATGCTGCTGTTAACCTGAAGCTTTTGTTGTACATGTTTTAACTTATGTCAGGACTGAAGATAAATTTTATG